ATTTTACCTCTATCTCTATACTTTTGATATTAATATTACCGGTAGCTCACTTGGTGATGCTTCGCTTTTTGCATTTGAGAACCTCTAAAAATCACGGGGACGGACTTAACTTACCCTGGAAGCTGTGCGTCTTTCCCAGCCGAGTTTCGCCTCTTATCTCTTCCGACTATTTTTTTTGTTTGGATGTAATAAGCAAAAACACATTTGCATGTTGCACAAGTAAACATCGAGTACAGTAAAGCTGTTCCACATGCATGCAGGCTGCAGAATCAGACCCGTCATGGCTGACTCCCGTTGGTGTGACTGAAATCACATTAATGTTGGATGCACGGTGCTGCAACAGCTGGTAGTCTATCTGGATTAGTAAAAAAATGAAATGGAAACTAGCATTTTGCACACATCGCATTTAGGATTTTTTTAGTTCAAGCTGCACTAAACTAAAATATTGACTAGTTGATTGTAGAAATTGTAGTTTATTTGTTGTGCTAAGTGGCAGAACACAGCATAATCTGGCTGAAGAACAGATGCAACATTCCTCCGCATGTCATCCTCAAGACATCCCAACACAGAATCAACTTTTTATCAGTCTGCATTGTATAAAACAGATCGATAAACGTAGCCACGTTCCTGCGGTTGCTCTTTAAATTTTCAGTTTGGCTGCAAGCTCTTCTGAAACTCGATAGCATGCATTTTATTTGCACCCATTGACTTTACATTATTTGATCTGTTTCTGTTTTGTCACTTGGCTCTGTAAAATTGCCTTTTTACCTACTGACTGATGTGGAAAAGACCATTCGAGCGTGTTTTATTATCTCAATGACAGTCATTTTCAGAACCATCCAGGGCTTGTATGAGGGTGAAATCAAAATCATAACATTGAGTTGACTTTACTCACAATCTGAACAGCTTATAGAGAATCTGCTGTCTTGTTATTTAAAAAAAATATTCAGCATAAAGTGTTGCTACTGGATTATGTGTCTTTGATCATGTTTTGAATATTTAGAAACATTCACGGGTGAAAAACTGCAGTAGTGTTTTGTCAGATCGATGAGAAGTTGACTGTGGGACTCGTTCAATTCACCTTTGTAAACTTGTCAATCAAGGCAAATTTGAAAGTGGCTCTAGGCAAATATCCCCGCTACATTTAATTTAATTAATTGGGGAATTGGGGTGTGTGCTTTAAATAAACATGGGCCTTTTTGTGTGTGAGGCATTATGCAGAAATGATCTAATGAAGAAAAAGAAAAAGCAAATGTTAAACTGGCTGGACTAACCTTTAAAGATCCAGGCCCGAGGTCAAGCTGCATAAAACACCAAGTTAAGGATTTCCTTAAAGTTGAATTTTGGTTTCTGTAGAATACCTTTTATTTTTTTTGTTTTTTCTAGATTTATCCTAAACTACTTAACATTATTTAAAGTGTTGGACTTAGCCAGTCACTTTTGATGAAACACGTATGATAAAAAGACTTTTTTGCTCATCAAAGGAAGTCTTTAAACAAATTCTATGAAATGCTGAGAACTAATGAGGAATGGAGACTAATGCACAGGAAACATACCATATGGTGTTTTGTGCAACCAGCTGCAGAATTCCAAGCTGTATTTATAGTTGAATATCTGTATTAATCTAACAAACGGCTTTAGTTGTCTGTATTTGGTTCTAGCAGATGCATCACTTATTTTGAAAGGATGAAACTGCTAAATTGTTAAAAGGGGATAATAAGAGCTGTCATGACGTCACCTCAACCATTTGAATAATTCAACCACCTTAAGGCTTCTTGATTAGTTGTTTAAGCTTGTTGTGTAGTCTTTAGATGTGTTTACAACCTTTTGCTGCTCCTTTTGCATTTTGTTCTGGTTCAGCTTCTTTCAGCTATTTGCACCAATTTAAACGGTTTTTCAGCTGCTTTCAGCTAATCTCAGCTGTTTTTTCCAGCTAACTACAACATTTCTGTGCTTCTTCTAACTTCTTTCTGCTAATTTCAGCTTGTTATGCTCCTTTCAGTTATTTCTTATTTTGTTTGACTTAGTTCGCTGTGGTGACCCCTGAAGAAGGGAGAAGCCAAAAGAAGATGATAAAAAAGCTCCTTTCAGCTTATTTCTGCAAGTTTCAGCTATGTCTACTGTTTCAGCTACTATATAGCCGTTTTTGTGCTCATTTAAACTTTCTGCTAATGGTAATTACACATTTTATGTATTTTTTTAAAAAATTCAGTCTAATTCAGCAAAAATGTGCTGTGTCCACTTCCTTCTTGTAATTTCAGCTTCTTTCTGCCTTTTCAGCTGTTTTTTGTTGTTGTTGTTGTTGTTGTTGTTGTTGTTGTTGTTGTTGTTGTTGTTGTTGTTGTTGCTAATTTCAGCTTTTTTTTTTTTAAAGATAATTTCCACTTTTTTTTGCTAATTTCTGCTTCTTTCAGCCTAATTGGGAAAACGTGTTCTTTCTGCTTTCTTCTGCTAATTTAAGCTTGTTCTAACTTTTCTGCTACCTTTTTAGCAGTTTTTAGCTAAATTCAGCTGTTTTCAGATAAATTCTAGTTTTTCATGGTAATTTCTGCTACTTTCAGTCTAATTACCTTCTTTCTACTATTTTCAGCTTATGCTCCTTTCAGCTTTTTTCTGCTAGTTTCAGCTTTTTTGTTATTTCAACTACTATTTAGTTGTTTTTATGCAAATTTTAGCTTTTTCAGCTAATTCCACATTTTTTAAGCTCATTTCATCTCTTTCCACTTCCTTCTCGTAGGTTAAGCGTCTTTCGCCTTTTTGGCTACGTTTTTTTTTTTTCTTCTAATTTTAGGGGTTTTTTTTTTTTTCTGATTTCCCAATTTTTATGACAATTTCTGCTTATTTAAACCTAATTCAGCAAATGTGTTCTTTCTGCTTTCTTTTGCTAATTTAGGCTTATTCTTCCATTTCAGTTACCGGTACATTTCAGCATGTTGTTTAGTTAATTTCAGCTGTTTTTCAGCAAGTTCTTCTGCAATAAGCACTCACACTGCATTTTCACAGGAAATGCAATTTCTTTAGTTATTGTTTGTGAAACCATCTCCCATCAAATTGACCATTTATGCTCAGGTGAAATCCTTTTTTCCTAGTAGTGAAATATTTCTCTCACTATTGCTGAAGTGAATTTTCTGTCATGATTGCATGGTTATGTTTTATGCGTTCCTTATTCTTATTTTACCAGTGTCCTTGAAGTATGTTTTAGCTACTAGTTGTTATGTCTGTTGTTGTGTCTAATTTATATTCATAAAACGAACACTGTTTACCATAAATGCAAATAATGTGTGCAAATGAGCCGTCTTCCAGTACGCATTCAAGGATTCGCTGTTTTCTCGTCCTTCAGAACAAAATGTTCATCTATCGAGGGAAGGAATACGAACGCTGGGAGGATTTTGTAGCACGACTCCTCACGCAGTTTCCCAACGCCGAGAAGATGAAGACGACGACACCGCCCAGCGAAGATACAACAAACTCCTCAGGACAATGTATCCTCAGTGCAATACCACAGAATCACTTTAAATATTTTTATATTATAGAGGTTCAAATGATATTTCCTTTTTCTCTCTTTCTGGTGCAACTCCCAAAACAACTTTTTTTGGGGGGGTTTTTTCCGAATGATCCCTATTGTGTGCAAAGCAACGATAATTTGGGCAAAATGCTTCACTTAATTGTGTAAATGTTTTTATTATTTCAACATTTTCTGTAGCAAAACACAACATATGTAAACTTTGACTGTGAAAATGAAAAATCAAGCTAGTTCTCATAAAAATGTTTATTTTTACCTATTTTATACGGAGAGCAATTTGTTTAGACCTCATAAATTTGCATAATCAGTAAATAGGTGCAGTTGAAGTTTTACTTATCTCAGAGTTAAACGCTTTTATTGATCGCCTTAATGTTTCTTCCTAAGACATCCAGTGTTTCACAGTAAAACCTCTCCTAAACCTGCCTGCCAAGTTTCAAAATAAGCCCGTCTCTGAGCAGATCGTCAGGTAAGGCCTCACATTTTGTCCTTCAGGGTTACGGAGCATCTGACTCAAAAGTCATAAGCACATATTTCAATCTGCCAAATCCCAATATACCTTCATCGGATGGTCAAACAGTTGATAGAGCTTGTGATGACACGCTGGAAGTACATCAGTGTTTTTGTTTGGTGTGCAGAGGACCACTGGTGTGAAGGTGATTAAATCTTGTCTGTGTAGAACAAACACTGGTTGACCTTCTCGTTGTTCCAGTAGCTGTTAACTTTCATCAGCCATCTGTTGTTAGTCACCGTGCCAAGTCCAACATTGTTTCTCCGCCGTCATTAATGGCTTTGTGTCAAGTGCCGGGGCCACGGCAAACAGTGGGCCCCTACTCTCCGACTTGTCTGCGTGCCAGCCGGACCCCGCCGCACTCAGCTGTGCAAATTCACTTTGATATGCCACCCAACGCATCAGTGAACATAATTAAAAGAGGGCATTTACTTGGAAAAACCTTCAGGCAAATATACCTGGGCACCGATCTTATCACACGCCTGCAGCATTGATTCTTTCAGCAGCCTGCTGGCTTGTTTGCTAACGGTGTCCGAGTGGAGCGCGGCACTCTGGGAGCAGATCCGATTATACAGTCATGTTTAGGGATTGACAGAGGAACGTTCCACACAAGACTGCCCATCTTTTTGTTGTTGTTGCTAATTCTGTCTAACCCTCATCGTGCTGTCCCCACGTTTCTGTCCCTGCCCTCTGTTTTTTCTTCTCATTTATTTCCTCATTCAGCGAGGAGATCAGCCGTGCATAGCAATGAGACCGAGCCATTTGAGCCGAAGGGTCACAGTCGCAGGCGGAGCTCGGCTTATTCTGACCTTGCTCTGCCAGAGCAAGCTACTCCATCATCTTTAGCCTGTCAGCTAATGGCATGTAAAAGGCTTATTAGCAAGCTGAGCTAAATCTGCTTTATTGATCTGTTTATCGGATCAGAAGCCCACTCTCCGTTTTTGCTCTATTAATGTCACTTTCCCAGCTAATTTGGGAGCGGGTCTCATTGTAAGCATGCAAAAGAAACATCTAAATATTAGCGTAGCATGAAAACATCTGAGTTAAGATTTTTTTTTAGATTTTAACGTCACAAGTTTTTTTTTTTGTTTTTTTTTTAAAAGAAGTTTCCATCTGTGCACTCTTATTGCTGTTACTTTAAGCGTGAAGTGGCAATGGAAGCAGCTCCGCTCATATTTTACTTATAATTATTCGCCATTAAATTCAGATCATGCTCTTTGAACATATGGCGTGATTTTTATGGATAGCAAATGCAATATGGTGGGTATGGATTATAGCTACGTGCTCATTTCCACAAGAGAGTGAGAATCTGTTTCTTTTTCTGTCACCGTGAATGCGCACAGACAGCTGTTCCCGATGCTGCTATGCAACACCATCATTTTCCATCTTTGAAAAGTCTATTAACCTGTTCTGGCAAAGTTCATTTGAGCTTCTGTTGCACATGCTGCAGCTTATCTGCATGTCTGACAAGTCAGGCTGACTTTATGAGCTGCCAGTGATGTGTGTGACCCCCCCAAAATTATTTTTTACCCTTTTTAGGAATGGCCATTCCTTAGGTAGATGAAAACCGACTTGCTTTAAATGACAATTCCGGGCAGAGGTAGCCGGGAGGGGATTTGTCCTGTGCTTGACCTGAAGCAAAGCAATCAACTTGTATCAATCAAGCTATAGATTGGCCCCGTAACAGTTTTAATTTACTCTGACACAGATTTCCTCCTTTCCCAGCTTCTACACAGTAAATGAAGTCCATAAATTCCAGTATTCCAGGCCGGTGAGAAAGGGAGAAAAGGACCCTGACAACGAGTTTGCGGTAATTTAATTATTTTTTTCTTTTTCCACACCCTATCCTGGTTCTGGTTCAATAGTGTAGTACATATACTGAAAAGCGTTGCATCTTTAAAGTAACCGTGGGTGCCTTTCTGCATACTTGATTCATTGTACACATGCAAATAAAGCTCCTTAGAGATCACTGTGCACATTTGAAGTTTACTCGGAGGATAATAAAATTAACTACCTTCTGCTGGTGCTAAGATGTGACATTGCATGCATTTACAGCTGAGTAGCCTTTATAGGTAGGTAGTCTGCAAACTATTTGAAAGATGGAAAACTGTACTATTGAATACTGTTATGGCAATATCACTGAGATAAACCCAACATTTTTGGGGACCTTTACAAGTACAGACAACAATATACAACAATAAAAAGCTATTAAAATTTAAAAAATAGTGCTACACTGTTACTGTTAGCAACATGGTCCTGTTAGCAGTGCGGTCCTGTTAGTAGCATGGTACTGTTAGTAGCATGGTACTGTTAGCAGTGTGGTACTGTTAGCAGTGCGGTCCTGTTAGCAATGTGGTTCTGTTAGTAGCATGGTACTGTTAGTAGCATGGTACTGTTAGTAGCATGGTACTGTTAGCAGTGTGGTTCTGTTAGTAGCATGGTACTGTTAGTAGCATGGTACTGTTAGTAGCATGGTACTGTTAGTAGCATGGTACTGTTAGTAGCATGGTACTGTTAGCAGTGTGGTACTGTTTGCAGCATGGTACTGTTGGCAGTGTGATACTGTTAGCAGCATGGTACTGTTGGCAGTGTGATACTGTTAGCAGCATGGTACTGTTGGCAGTGTGATACTGTTAGCAGTGCGATCCTGTTAGCAGTGCAGTCCTGTTAGCAGCATTATGATAATAACGACCGTGGCAATGGATGACGACTGCTGTCCAGAACCAGGTCCAACTGACAATGAACATTCAAAGTTCCCTGTGGAACCGAACTGTTCTGTAGAGTTGGGTCCATGCAGGCCCGTGCAGGAGGATCATGGAGACGGCCGCCATGACAGGCCGGAGCCTGAGCCCGAGGCGGGAAAGGGGCCGGAGAGTGGGGTTCTGGTGGATCGAACCGAGCTACAGACGGACAGTGTAGGTCTTAGTGAATCCTTGGTGTACCAGAGCAGCACGGAGAGCAGTGGATCATATCGAACCATCCTACCAGACCCGCAGCACATGAACACAAGTCTCTTGCTTCCATTATTAGCCCCGTCTCCCCAATGGGTCCCTGCTATGTTGTGTGTAAATGTATTGTACTTAGAATATAGTAGTTTATAATCCATTGCAGTCCCTTGCAATACTGAAAATGCACGCCTTGATATTATGATAATACATACATACTATACAGGCAGGATAATGTAAAGTACTTTTTTGCCAACAGGAACATCAAGGCTAAAAGAGATGGTTAACTGTGATCTAAATCTCTGATTTTAATGCAGCTGTTTTTATCAAATCCTGATTTTTAGAGCATTTACAGAATAATCTCTGGTGCATGTTTAGTATCCAAGTAACCGTGACGGAGAGACAAATTATACCCAGCCAAGCTTTCTTCGGTGTGTTTACTGTGACATGGCATCAGCAGGATGATGGACTTAACTCATCTGAGACTTATGGCTGTTCTGACACTGATTGGTCTGTCTCTGTCCCGCATGAGAGCTGATGGATATCTATGGCTGGACATATTATGTCTGTCACATCTATTAAAGCTGTCAGTATATAAAATTCTTTATGCTTCATCATCCACTCAGAGTGAAGGATAAGTGCATTCTGCTGATAATGGAACACAGTTTACTTTAATTGTTTAGTTTGTTTTTGGGACGCGAAGAAAATGGGGAAATGTTGCAAGAGGAGATCAGCATCATATGTTGCTACTTCTGTTTTAAAGGGTATATTCAGTGCGGTGCATTCAGTGTTATGGAGCAAAAGTTGTTTAAATTCTCATCTTTTGTTGTTTCTGCTTCTCCACTCTTCTTGTGTTTCATCTTTAGAACATGTGGATTGAGAGGATCACGTATGCGACAGCATACAAACTTCCGGGCATCCTGCGCTGGTTTGAAGTCAAGTCAGTTTCTACGGTGAGTATGAAGAGCCTTTTCCTAATCAAATGAGGTCCTGCGGGCTCTCTTAAAGGCACATGATGTACTCGGACCACTTATATAGTAAAGACAACTGCCTGGACGCAGGCGGTTCATTCCCCAAACTAATAACGGAGCTCTCTTTGGTCTCTTTTTACCAGATGACCCACATTGATTCACCAGGCTCTGGTGTTTTCACTGAAGTATCCACACAGAAAGTCTAAACTGTCCCCGTGTTGTGTTTGTGCTGTCTCTGTTGATTTTCGGTAGAATTACAACAGTTTTATTAAAAAAACCTTTGGTATTGAGGTATGTCTTAAATGTTTATTTTAGAACTTGGCTATTTTACCCGAGGGGGAAAAAGTAGAAATGCATTACAACTAATTTAATTTCCTTTTAATTAATCAAATTGTTCACAGTTTTTGGGATGTTTGGAGTGTGGAGAAATTAGTTTATCGACATATTTTGGAGAGGAGTCACTTAAAGCGATGACACCTGCTGCATCTTTTTAATCTTATTTTGCTATAATATAAATCCACTACTTGGTCTGATTAGCCTGTTTGAGTTCACAATCAATTACTATTGCTTTCATCCCCTTTGTGCTTGTTAGACGCCTCAGAAAAGGCCACCTTTTATTCTAAGGTGCTGTATCCATATAGTCAAACAGGACTGGGTATGTACTTCTAACACAATAATCCCCCAGGTAGCCCCATTTTTAGCACAGTCCACACATTGTCTGCCCCCAGCTTCTACATCTGCATAGTTTCTTGTTCTTCATCGTCAGAATGATTCAGAGCAGACATTCCCTCCTTCTGGCGGGGTTTGGAACAAGTTTTTAATAGCAGCTTGCCCTCCAGATGAGCCCAGGGAGACCAGGACCCAAAGGTCAGAATTGCTATTTAAAGCTTAATTACTCGGCTGCGATTCACCAGGATTAATCCCCCAATCTGAGAATTATTTTACAATCTGGCCAAAGACATACAAGCACAGATTGGAGGTTTGTCTTTACTTTTCCTGGCTCGGGTCTAAAATCTGAGATTTGCTCAACAAGCCCTTTGTTTCTCCTAAACACTTACTACAAGTGGGTGATATTATTTATTTTTCACAAATACGGAACTCATGGCAACAAAGTACCGTAATTTCCGGACTATAGAGCGCATCTGAATATAAGCCGCGTTCACTAAATTAAAAATAATAATAATTTTGTACATATATAAGCCGCAGGTGTCCACGTTGTAACATGAGATATTTATACAGATTTTTTTTTTTTTTTACTTTTAATTATACATGTACTGGTAACATATATAAATACGTACTATAAATATATATATATATATATATATATATATTTGCTCTCAGAATTGTATTTGTGAATCTCAGTATTCATCATCAACATTTAAATGAAGAAGTGCATTGACACTGTAAAACATGATACTGCTTGACTTTTCCTTACATCTTTTTTCTTAAACCGTTCCCAGTTGTTTATATGCGCATCCACCCTGAAACGGATGAATAAATCCAGAGTATTTCTGATGACACCTGTTTTTTTGTATAGGAGGAGATCAGTCCCCTTGAAAACGCCATGGAAACGATGCAGCTAACCAACGAGAAGATCAGCAGCATGGTGCAGAGGCACCTGAACGACCCCAACCTTCCCATCAACCCCCTCTCCATGCTGCTGAATGGGATTGTGGACCCAGCTGTGATGGGAGGTTTTGCCAACTATGAGAAGGTGGTCAACATGAAAACATTTTGATCCATCCCCATCATTACTAATCAACATTTTATTATGTTATCTTGTATTTTACTTCAACCGAAAGGGATTAGAGTGAATATTTTAAAAACTTAACTAATTTATGTTCCATTAAACTTTAACATTATGCATTAAAGTGAAACATTCCACTTGAAGATCTTATTAAACACAAACATCTGCTAAAATTAAAGACCGTTGGAATCAAAAGCTTCACACCAGGCTTTAAAGCCAACCAGCGGGTTGTCTGTCAGTCTACACTCACAGCAGGTTGGTTTCTATTCTTAGGTTTTATTCAGAATACGAAGAATTTATTTGGTG